TTTGTCTGTTTGTCTGTTTGTCTGTTTGTCTGTTTGTCTGTTTGTGTTTGTCTGTTTGTCTGTTTGTCTGTTTGTGTGTTTGTGTGTTTGTGTGTTTGTGTGCTTGTGCGCTTGTGCGCTTGTGCGCTTGTGCGCTTGTGCGCTTGTGTGTTTGTCCCTCTGTGTGTCACAGTTTTTACCCCTAACCCTAATAGAGGTAGACTACCAAAAGAGAAACAGATGGCTGGATATCTAGGTCTACAGCTGCAGCCAGCTAGCTTGGCTTGCCTAGCCACTGCCAATCAAACACAAACTTGTTGAGGGCTCATGCCTTCGCCAGCCTGAATTAAATTGTTGTTAAGTCTTTTATGCTTAGTTCTGGTACTAATCAGATTTAACAAGTCGAACGTTCGCACGAATGGCCACCAAAATCTTAGTTTTGTGTCATTTTTAGTCATTTATCTACTGTATCCTTTGCACATTGGTCACCAGCGCTGAACTGAGCTAGCTGGAAGAAAGATGGTCAAATTTATCCGACTTGCATTCAAAGCCGCCATAAGCCGCCATATCCTCAGTATCTGCATGTCCTTGAGCAAGAGCGACGCAGAAGAAGCAGCGAATGTTTTGCACAAGGCAACTCTTGAGATCTCGGCGTATCACTTCACCCAGTCTTCACCCAGTCCCCAAGTGGCCAGTATCCGTTCCGAACTCAAACTAGCCACGAGAATGATCTTGTCAAGCAATATCCTTGCTTTCCTACTGGCCTCCTTCTTGCTTGTTTCAGTACAGGGGCTGAACGATGTGGACGTGTCGCAGCTGCACATCACAGAGGGCACTACCTCAACCATTACGCCGGAAAGTGGCGAGAGTCTGTGCCAGTCCGAGTTTCCAATGGCACACCTTGCAGATCTCAATTTTCTGAGCTCACACATGGATGAGAGCATTTTTACCATGTTTGAAGAGCAGAATGGAGTGCCTGCTACATCTGACGGCCTCCTCGACGACAGCAAGCTATTGGTTCAGTCTTCGGACGGTGCTGATGGCGATTGGGTCGCCACCCGCTTTGTAGATGCCAATGATGCAGTTACTGAAGACAATTCCGAGTTTGGTGGACTTGTGCAAAATCCAGTGGTGCAGTTGCCTTCTCCAGGTGAAATCCGAGCGCTTTGCTTGGAGGATACCGACACAAAGTCTACAAGTGGAATCAAGGCAAATGCTGCCGCGTTCGGGGATCCGTAAGTGCACTGAAACTTGGCAATTGAGAAGTCCGGAGTATCGTCTTCCTACTGACACACAGTGGTTGGGCTGCATTTGCACATCGTTTTATCGTCACAGGCATATCAAAACTTGGGAGTAAGTATGCTTCCTCGATACCGTTTTAATGCAAAAGCAAGTACTAGCTGGGCCCTGTAGAATGAATCCTAACTGTGCTCGTCTTGTTCCTGCCGGACACCCAGTGGTGACCAATACGACTTCCACGGCGAATGCGATTTGGTACTTCTGCAAGCGCCTCATTTTGACGACTTTCTTGGGCTGCACCTACATATCCGGACAAAAATCCAGACATGGTGGTCGTATATAGAATCAGCTGTCCTGCAAATCGGCAGGGACACACTCGAAGTAACGGGGAGTACCACCAAGAACCATGAACACTGGATCAATGGTAAACAGGGCGGCGACCTGAAGAATGGAATTCTTCCAGAGACCTTGTCAGGAAGTCGAATCCACTATCGGGCCGTCAATGCCCACCAGTGCATCTTCCGCGTTGATCTTGGGCAGGCGGACTCTATCAGCATTGAAGTATACAAAAAGTTCGTTCGAGTCAGTGTTACTACGGGAAAGAATCCCGACCGCTTCGCGGGGAGTCTCGGCTTGATGGGGGCTTTCCCAAGTGGTGAAAGGATTGGGCGAAAAAAATCAACCACTGTGGCAGACGTAAACGCATTTGCCCAGGAATGGCAGACTCGAGGAGATGAAGCCCGCCTTTTCCATGCTCCCGGAAGTGTTCAGTACCCTGCGAAGTGCATCATGCCCAAGCAGACGATGCGGACAAGCCGACGTCTTGGTGAAGCTTTGATTAGTAGGGAGGAAGCAGCGAAAGCATGTGCAAATGTCTCGACGTTTGACAAGGATGCTTGCATTTTCGATGTTATGGCCACTAATGACAAAGGGATGGCTGCGACATACTGAATTTGACGGTGACCCACCGTGACAAACCTCGCCACTCGCCACCAGCTGGGCATGTTCTGCACCGGCTTGACCTCCGCCTTGGCTGATACATGTAAGAAAGACAAACTCATAAGTAATATATCAGCAACGCTTCTCCTTTCGTGATCCTCCAAGCTTGTTGAAGGAACAGCCTATACCCGTAACGCCAACTGGAGAAGCGAGCATCCACTCCTGTCTGGCTCCAATCACTGCCGAGCCATCGGCTTGAAATCAATCTCGACGTGAGCACTCCTCAAAGTTGGTATTTCGCTTAAGCTTCGCATAGCTTCTGCGAAGTCAGCCAATCCGGATTGGCTATCCACCAAAGTCATGTTCTTTATGCTGAGTGACTTCAGGCCGGCATTCTTTTCTTCGTGATAACACATGGCTATCCTTCGAAGTGTTGTAACGACAATGCTAGTGGCAATGCAAGAGCGCACACTCCCACTGGAGGACTCGATGCTAAGATGCCGAAGTTTTTCCAGACTTCCTATCACTTCAAACATCCTTGTGACGGCGGAGTGTTCAGACACTGTGTCCTCTATATTGGTCGGAACGACAACGGACACCTCTTTCACTGTTGAATTCTTTGTCAATACATCGGCGACCTGATTTAGTCGGCCCCGTGTTCCCTCCGATAGACGACTTGGGAGTTCCAGGTGAATGGTTGATGGCTGGATGCCTTCTTCAAATTCACCCAAACACTTTGCAAGGTTGCCTCCGTCCTTTGTCACATGTGCAGGGCCACCACTTTGCTGCCGCTTTTTCTGCTCCTCGGCTTCGAAAGCTTCCTTCTCAACAGCCCACCTATCCTTCACTTTCATTCGTATCTGACGTTCCCTTTCCATTGCGCGTGCATCTTGTCTTGCCATTTCTGCTTCCTGTTCAACTCGTTCCGCACGTTGTTGCTTCGTTTCTTCCAATTTCTCCAAACTCCGTGAAGCCGCCTGTTGTTGTTCTCGTTCTTCCCTTTGTAACCTCGCCTCCCTGGCCTTTTCCCTCTGCACCTCAGCCTCGGCTTCGGCCTTGTGCCGTGCTGCTTCTGCTTCGGATTTCAGCCGTACTTCCTCCTTTAGCTTCTTCAGGCGCTCTTCTTCCGCTCTCTGCAATTGTTCTGATTGCTTTTTGATCACCTCTTCCTGTTCTTTCAACCGCCTTTCTTGCTCTTCCATTCGAGCTCGAACGCTTTTCTCGGACTCGGTAATTGGTTGTATGGCTGGTGCCGACGTCGGAGCAGGTGCTGTCGTTTTGGGTGGGCCTTTATCGGAGCTGTCAACTGATTCATCAATGTCATCTGAATCTGACGAATCGAAAGCTGATTGTGTGGCTTTAGCGGGGGCCGGGGCAGGCGAAGGTTCTTTCTTTTGGGGTGAGCTGTCATCGTCCGAAGTATCTATAGATTCATCAATATCGTCTGAATCTGATGAATCGACAGCTGGTTTTGGGGCTTTGGCGGGGACCGGGGCAGGGGCAGGCGAAGGTGCTTGCTTTTTGGGTGCGCTGTCGTCGGAGCTTTCTAGGGAGTCGTCAATATCGTCCGAGTCTGACGATTCAACAAGTGGTTTCGGAGCTGGGGCCGGCGCAGGCGCTGGAGCAGGTGTTGCCTTGTTATGCGAGCTGTCTTCGGAGTCAACGTCTTCTGAGTCCTCGTTTTTGGTGGTGGGGGGTGCAGCAGAATTGGCAGTTGTTGACTTTGTGTTTGGAGCACCAAACCCATCGCTGTCTGAATCATCATCGTCGTCGGAGTCGCTTTCGTCCGAGAAGGACGACTTTTTGGCTTTGCGAGGAGTTGCTTTCCCCTTCTCTTCTTCCTCCTTTTGAAGCATTGCAGCTTCGGCCCTGGCATCCTCTTCCAGCTTGAGCCGTTCGGCCTCCCGTTCTTCTTCCTCCTTTCGACGCATCTCTTCCTCTTCAATTCTCAATCTTTCTGCTTCCTCTCTCTGCATTCGTTCTGCCTCGAGCTTCTCGGTTTCAAGACGCTCCTGTTCCGCCGCTTCTTCTTCTTCTTTCTTCAACCTTTCTTTTTCGGCGTCATCATCTGGTGGTATTGTCGAGTCAACTGAATCATCATCGTCATCATCCGACGATGAGGATGAAACCTTCGCCTTGGTACCTTTGTCGCCTTTCTCCCAATCCTCTGGATCTTCGTCATCTAGAACGGAATTTGAATCGGGTCCACCACCCGCTGGTGATCTGCCCCTGCCACGTGCTTTGGCTGGTGGACTCTTGCTGCGGCTGCAGGTACTATTGGAACGGACAGAGCCATCGCGACGAACCGGACTTCGCGCTCTATTGCGTAGTTTGAGAGCAAATCCAATCACTCTGGCTTCAACGCGTTCGGCATGCTCTTGCAGTCTCTTTTGATTTTCTTCGCCTTCCGAGCCATCTGCTTGTAAAACCTTTTTGCAAAGTGCTGTCAAGGCATCGTCTTCATCCAGATCAGGTTGTGCATACCAAGGAAGCTCTTCGTAGTCTTGTTCATACCAGGGAATATCATCATGGTCTTCTGCCACATGATTTTCATCATTGACCGACAGAGCAGAGTCTTCATGCTGCAAGAACTCGTACTGTTCTGTCACAATAGGTTCCGTGAACACCACATTGAGTGCGCCCCGTTTCAATCTTGACGAATGGATACGCGCCATTTTCATGGCATCTCTCCAATCTGTTGTCGTGTCGCGAAAGATGCGATCATCCTCCTCGGCTGCTTCGCCTTCTTCTTCTTCTTCTTCCTCCTCCTCCTCCTCTGATTCTTCTTTCTTGATTTTGACATCTTTCTTTGGCGGCTTCTCATCAGAATCTGCATCCTCATCTGAGTCTTCATCATCTGAGTCCAGGAAGGAGCTCTTCTTTGGCGCTGGAGCTGCTGTCTTTTTGGGTTTGTCATCTGAGTCATCGTCTGAGTCTTCTTCATCTGAGTCCACGAAGGAGCTCTTCTTTGGCGCTGGCTCTGGAGCTGCAGGTGCTGTCTTTTTGGGTTTGTCGTCTGAGTCTTCATCTGAGTCTTCATCGTCCGAGTCCAAGAAAGAGCTCTTCTTTGCCGTTGGAGCTGCTGTCTTTTTTGGTTTGTCATCTGAGTCATCATCCGAGTCTTCATCATCCGAGTCCAGGAAAGAGCTCTTCTTTGGAGCTGGCTCTGGGGGTGGTGCTGGAGCTGCTGTCTTTTTTGGTTTGTCATCTGAGTCATCATCCGAGTCTTCATCATCCGAGTCCAGGAAGAGCTCTTCTTTGGAGCTGGCTCTGGAGGTGGTGCTGGAGCTGCTGTCTTTTTTGGCTTGTCATCTGAGTCATCATCTGAGTCTTCTTCATCCGAGTCCAGGAAGGAGCTCTTCTTTGGAGCTGGCTCTGTAGGTGGTGCTGGAGCTGCTGTCTTTTTTGGTTTGTCATCCGAGACGTTGTCTGAGTCTTCGTCATCCGAGTCCAGGAATGAGCTCTTCTTTGGTGCTGGCTCTGGCCCTGGAGGTGGTGCTGCAGCTGCTGTCTTTTTTGGTTTGTCATCCGAGACGTTGTCTGAGTCTTCGTCTCGAGTCCAGGAAGGAGCTCTTCTTTGGTGCTGGGCTGCTGTCTTTTTGGTTTGTCATCTGAGTCATCTCGAGTCTTCTCATCCGAGTCCAGGAAGGAGCTTCTTTGGTGCTGGCTCTGGCTCTGGAACTGGCTTTGGAGCTGCAGGTGCCGCCTTTTTGGGTTTCTCATCTGAATCATCATCCGAGTCTTCATCATCCGAGTCCAAGAAAGAGCTCTTCTTTGGTGCTGTAGCTGGCTCTGGAACTGGTTCTGGAGCTGCTGGTGCCGCCTTTTTGGGTTTCTCTCTAATCACTGATCTTCATCATCCGAGTCCAAGAAAGAGCTCTTCTTTGGAGCTGGCTCTGGAACTGGTTCTGGAGCTGCAGGTGCCGCCTTTTTGGGTTTCTCATCTGAATCATCATCGAGTCTTCATCATCCGAGTCCAAGAAAGAGCTCTTCTTTGGTGCTGTAGCTGGCTCTGGTGCTGCTGTCTTTTTGGTTTTTCATCGGAGTCCTCATCCGATTCTTCATCATCAGAGTCCAAGAAAGAGGACTTCTTTGGCGCTGGCTTCGGTGGGGCTGCTTCCATTTTCTTGGGTGCCGTGGACTCATCATCACTATCATCATCATCATCTGAATCTGAATCTAGCACAGACTTCTTCTTGGCAGGTGCAGTTGGAGCCTTTTTCACAGCCGTGCTCTCATCGTCCGAGTCGTCATCATCGTCGTCACTATCCGAGTCCAAAACTGATTTCTTCTTGGGTACAGCTGCTGCTGCGGGTTTCGGTGGAGGTGCTTCCTTTTTCTTGGGCGCTGTAGACTCGTCATCACTATCATCGTCGTCGTCATCGGAATCAGAATCTAGAACTGATTTCTTTTTCGGAGCGGGAGCTGGAGGAGCCTTGGCTGGTGTTGGCTTTTTCTTGACAAAGCCAGTGGACTCGTCGCTCGAATCGTCGCTGTCACTGTCCAAGAAGCCCATCGTCGACTATATTATGGCTCCTCCTCGCCTTTCACACTGTCGCATAGGGTCTTGATGCTGAGACTAGCTTGCAGACTTCCCTACCAGTGCCGAATCGATGTGGTACTGTACCTTCCGCTTGGATATCTTCCGGTTCCAAGCATCTCGATCCTTCCTGATGCTGCGTCCAGCGTCCAGCAACCATCGGACAAACACACGGCAAATTTTAGTAGCCTAACGGTAGGAATTTGAGGGAAGACAAAGCATTATGAGATGTCTCCTTCAGTTACCCACGGCAAGTGGTACGTACTGGTACCAGCCTGCAAAACTGTGTAAATATCCTTACGCAATCATACGAGGTACCAATACCCAACATGTTCATGCCATGATGAGGGTCTCTTGCAATCTGCGGTGCTTTCCAGATAATAGATCTGGATGCAAAGCTTTGTACATAAAGTGCATTTAGGTTTCTTCCTTCGTCTCCATGGACAAGTACGGAGGTGTCAATGATATTGCTCTTCTGTGCAAGGCTATTGTCCATACAATCTTATGTTGCTGGTTGGATAGTTTTACAATTCCTTGGTGATTTAGTGATTTTCGTTGAGATCATTATTGCTGCAGGTCTTAGTGCCAGGTGGGTTGGGATCATGCTAGCTAGACTAGCTAGCCGTCGTTGGGTGCTTCAGTACCGCTAATATTGTGCTGGGTGTGTGTGGTTGCTTGGGGGGAGACTCTACTAGTAAACCCGCAAAGCTGTGAAAGTTGAACTGACGCGAAAGAGTCGCCAAGATTGCTCGGAAGCAACTAGCACCACTAGCACTCCACAATCCACAAACCACCAAACCACAGGATCCTCCCTCGCCCTGCCTTTCGTCCATCATAAGAGAGAGCTTTCTTTCTCTTTAGTTGGACCGTCCTTGATCTATCTATCCATCTCTCTGTACTCATTAAGTGATTTAGTAATGGTGTGGCCCACGACTGTCGAGCTCGAGACGGTGTCTCTGGGAAGTTTCACGCCGTACAGCGTGTTACGGACGACTTTGCGTCCCCAGAGCGGCCGGCAACAGTACGAAAAGCACGTGATTGTCTTTGGACTGTGCTGGATCGACGTACAACTACTGGCGGCGTGTACCAGCCATGGGGAAATTGTGATTTGGTCGTTGGATGATACTGCGACCAACAATACCAAGCCAGTATTCCGACGGCAGGTATCCAAGGGCAAGCTGTATTCTATTCAATTCTGCGAGAAAAAGAGTCCAGGAGAGAAGAGTCTCTTGATTGTCTGTGGCGATGAAGGAGTACTGCTGTATGACTGGGAGCAAGATATCTACAACAAGATAAATAATCCAACAGAAAACAAGAAGCCATTGACTCCATTGACAACATTCTGCCCACATCCTTCTCCCCTGGAAAATGCCAAAGTGGAAGTGAACGATTTCCAAGTCTTGAAGAATAATGGCAGTAACCACCACCTATTGGGGGCAGCTGGTGATTCCTTTGGGGTGTACAAGTGGGATATGGAAAGTGGCAAGCTCGTTGCCAACTATGCGTCTCCCGAGCGAAAGAGCATCTACGCGGTCCAAATGCTACCTTCTTCCTCCGATAACTCACAGATTCTACTGGCCGGAGGGGAAGGAGGAAAAGTGCAACTGTGGGACACTACCAAGGACCAATCCGTCGGTGCCATTGACACATCGGTGGATGCGACCAAATCCACTACTAGTCTCAGCAGGTCTTCCAGTAAACGCGCCAAGCTATCGTCCCGATGGATTTCCAGCATTTGTGCGTCGGATCCCAATTGGTTCACCGTGGCCGGCGGCAATACGGCACACAAGAGTGGCCACACCGGCTTTTTGGCCACGTATCATGCTCCCACTCGATCGTTGGTATCGTCCACGGAAACACGAGAAACTCCGCAACAAATTGCTGCCTCCAGTCAAAGTCTGGTCTGCGTGGCCAATGAAGGCATTGTCAGTCGGTACAATGCCTTGTCGTTGGAACAACCAACCGGGCGACAATGGTGCACGTCACCGAGTTCGTATGCCGCTGCCGTTTCGAGTGATCATACTGCCGTTGCGGGTGTGGGGTGTTTTGTGGACGTCTTTGATAGTTTGGGAGAGAAATGCCAACGATTGGAAATTTGCTAGCTAGCTGATAGTAGCCCTATTCGTTGTATTTGGTTTTCTACCAGTATCCAGTTCTACCGTATGATGCGAGGGGAAGTTGTATGGCGTCGTGACAGTATTGAGGATATGACATGTATGCCACGCGCGATTACCCGGCCCAGGTTCGATGCGGATGTAGAACACTTAGAACTTGCAACATGGACTGCGTACCGGAATGCTGTCCATACCTGGATAGCTGGCCCTTCCTGGGTCAGTCCACGCTTGAGCGAGTTCAATCGAATCATTTGGGTAGGTTTCACCTCTCGCTCGTGTGCCATGCCATTTGGCACAACGATTTCAATACGACGACCTGTACGTGACTGTGACAAAGGGACGACACTTTTCGGATGATTGATTCTAAATTACACTTACAATTACTATTGCCTCTTTTATTATACTACTAGTATGGTTTGCCTCGATCTTCTTCCTTTTACTCGGAACTACTATTCGTACCGGTACTACTATTAGTAGTGGTACCGGTACTACTCTTCAATTCTCCGACACCGGCCAACAATTCCTTGGCTTTTTCCAATCCCACGCGTTCTATAAAACCGGCAATCCATGGTTGCGTATCCGCTTGATAGACAAACTGCGTCGCGGCTTTATTGAGATTTTGGTACATGTCCAAATTCCGTTTCAAATCATTGGCCGCCAGGACTTTTGACGCACCCGGATTATGGACTTGACCGGTATGCAAATTGACCGACGCACGGGGATCTTGTCGAAAGAGCCACTGTTCTTGTGTGCCCAAATAATGATTGATTTTGAGAAATTGACTTTCCGGTGTCGCATGTCCTTTGGAGAGGAGTGGACAATGTTCGCGACTGACGCGATGGACATCGGACAATTCATTGACGAATTGTTTTCGAATGGCCGTCAAGTGGACGACGTTTTTGCCCAGTGTCATTTTTTCGGTGTCTTGTAATAGGAATCGTTGTGTGAGGAACTTGTAGGGATTTAAATCACTCTTGGAGAGGGTAAAATTGTTGCTACTGTTGCCGTGGGGTAGATATCGTTCGACGAGTTCATGACTGGATTCCCAGCTTCCCACCATGTATCGTTTGACGTAGAGACATTTTTTGGGTCTCTTCGAAACCTTTTGATCGTGTGTGAGGAATCGTAATACGGATCCTGGTTGATCCATGGTAAAGAATCGGGCCATGCGTCGATGTCGTGGACTGGCAGCGTTTGTGAGCAAGTGCTGATAATTGAGAGATAAGAATTCGTCCGTATCCGTCAGAAATACCCATGGGATTCGTTTGGTGCGTTTGAAATGTCTCATGCACGTATTGATAAAGGAGGCTTGTCGATGTCTATGCATCATGAGCTGTGTATTGTTTTGGTAAATATCTCTGGTTTTCTTGGGAATGGGTTTTATGAAATTCTTATCTTCCCAAATGATAATTTCCATGAGATCTTTCCATCGATCTAGAATTTCGAGTGGCGATGTCTGGGAGGAAGGATCAATGACCACTATCAAATGTCGCAAGGGTGCCACATACCAGTGATATGCCAACCATTCAATGACCCAGTGATTGTCGTCTTTGATCAGTAAACAAGCACCCATCCCCACACCATCCGGCAACGTCGTAGTCTCTTCTATCACGGGTGGTTCTACCGACATTTCCAGGGCTGCCGTGGCAGTGCTGTTATTGGTGGCACTGTCATTGGTACCATACAGATACCTCGACAGATCCAAGTGAGAATAGGATCCCAACGTCATGCCAATGGCAAATGCCACCATGAACATTCGAAGCAGTTTGGCTGGAGAACTCGAAGCTGCCGCAGACAGACGATTCGTAACAGAATTCGAAGGACAAGCCGTCGGAGAACACACAGCAGCGGCACTGTCCATATCACCACTGGTAGCAGTTGCTACCCATTGCCTTGCACGTATCATCTTGTATAATATATAATGGTGTAATAATAGCAGCAGAAGAGTAGGGATCTCTTCGATGGTCAGCTAGCTAGCTAGCGAGGAGAGGAAATGGTGCTGTCAAGAGGTTTCTCAGTACTGGCGGATCCCTCCTTGTTTGGCATGGTGGCGCAGCCCAACTTCCCAAGAACAATATCATGTGCTTGGTCATCTATCAGATCTTGGGCCAAAAAGTGCCTCCAAAAACGTCGGAAGAGTCGAGTCTTTGGGAAGACTTCGCGAAAAGTTCGCGAAGTGGGATTCTGGTTATCCACGCCTGGTGGGCTCGCAGGAGTCGATCATCCACATGTCCTCAATGTACTAGTAGTACTTCAGTTTCCCCCCGTCACAAGCAACCAAGGGAGGTTACCCCAATGTTGTACCGGTATCGAGTTGGTTGGGAATGGTAGGAATTGAAAGAGATCATGTTCGCAGCAGAGATTGGACTGTCAGCATACTGAGAAGTTCATAATATCATCTGGATGAGGCCCTATGGGAACCATTCGCTGGGTCTCTTTTTGCAATCAATATCTGAGTTTGCTACGGCTGGGGGTGCCCAAAGAAATTGAAAGCTTGGGGTGTTCAGAACTATTCATTCAAGCATACACGTGTAGCCAGTCTGACATAATGATCCCTGCTACTAGCTTGTACTGTACTATGTATAACTATTCACTTTGTGACAATCATGGAGGTCCTTTTCTTGTCGCGTTTTGCCTTCTTGGCCAGCTTCGCAGCTTTGAGGCGTTCTACCTCGGAGGTTGCTTCGATCTTGGCCGTGTAGACTTTGTCGCTAAGCAATGGGGTGGCCTTTATCTCAATGCCCGAGGCTGCCAAAACTTCTCGTTCCTTCTCGTCGAATTCCTTGAATTCTTGAGCTGCAAGAGCTTCTTGGGCTTTCTGCTTCTCGTCTCGCCGAGCATCTCGCGCTCTGTAGATTGCCTGTTCTTGGTCTGCTTGCTTCTTCTCTGCAGCAAGCCGCTCTTTTTCTGCGGCTTTGGATTTGTCTTCCATTGCTTTGACTACCTTTCGCGTCTGCGCGGTGGCTTGCTGAAAGGCGGTCGCTGGCATGGTGGCTCGCCGGCCCTTGTTTGCAGGCAGAACCGGGGCGGGATTCTTCCGTCCTGAGTTTGTTGGCAGCACCGGGGAAGCCGCTTTCGGAGCCGAAGTTGTGGATTTCCGCGATGGGGTTGTAGATTTTGGAGCTGCTGCTGCTGCAGACAACGGAACTGAAGCTGGTAAGGGTGCTGGCGCTGGAGATTTCGCTTCGGTTTCTTTCTTCTTGTAGATGTGGTCGAAAATGGAAGGCATTTTGAAGGTGCCACTAGCGGGGAGCGATTTTCGACGTATGGCTCTTTTCTTGACAGATTCGACGGTCTTGGCGGCTTCCGTCTGAGCCTTTTCCACTTTGGATTTGTCCACCCGAGATTTTAATTCCGCGTGCTTTCGACGTAGTTCTGCTGCTGCCTTTGCAAGCTCTACATCTTCCTTGGATTCGCTGGTTTTATTGCTCTCCTTCTTTTCTCCCCCCACATTTCGAGACGACTTCGACTTCTTCATGGTCCCTTTCTTCTTGGGTTTCGCGGTGGCTGTGGCGCCATTACTTTGTTCTCCCCCGAGCTTCCGAGACGAATTTGCCTTAGTGATCGCATTCGTCCGTTGTTTGTTGTCGTTACCGTTCTCCTGTCCTCCCCCAGGACTTCGAGACGAATTGGATGGCAAGATAGCCCCTTTCTTTTGACTGCCAGTGGTACCGCCGTTTTGCTCTCCCACAGGCTTTGGAGGCTTATAAGACTTCAAGATTTCGCTAGCCACCATCAGATCTTTCTTCGAATCCAGTCGAATTAAGTGCCCATCGCTCTTTCTCCTTCGAAGCTTTTTGCCTCCACCTGATTTTGCTTCCGACTGCTCTTTTTCTTCTATGACAGTTTGTACCTTTGCCAGGACTCTAGCTTTAACAGCTTCGTGCCGCTTTCGCAAGTCTGTTTCTGCTTTTTCTCGCTCCGCTTCATCCTTTTGAATTTTTTCGATCAACTTCTTATCTTTCAACGCAGGCGCAGGTGAGACCTGACTGGTTCGAGCTGCTGGTGCGGACCTTGCACTAATGTCGAGTGGTAAAGATTGTTTGGTATCTGCAGGTTTATCCCCTTCGACACTACTATCATCGCCACCAGCAGAACCAAAGCTCCCAATATCAGAGAGATCATCGTCATCATTGCTACCCAGCATGGTTTCATTGTTGTTGTTTCCGTTCCCGGACGGTCCTTGATTAGAATTCGTCCGTATCGTCACGACTGGTGGCAAGTTCTTGGCCGTTTGCTTTTGCTGTGCCAATATTTGGCTTGTCTTATGCATCGTGACCAAGAAGCTCTTGGATTGGTGGCATCCGGGGAAACTACAAGGTGTCATTGTCGATGTGTGTTTGCAAGACGTCATGTGACGCAAGAGTTCTTTCATCTGCGAGCACTTGGGATCAGAAGGACAAATTCCACCGTTCTGTGCAATCCGGCACAGGGCTGCATGGCGCAACATAACCAATCGCAACTTTGGGTCCTGGTCGAAAGAATTGCCAGACGTATTCTTTGGCGCAAACGTCGCGTTCTTTTGATCAATGGGGGCTGGTGTGTCGATTTCGATATCTGAAAAAGTGGCTCGGCGGGTCATCAAAGGTTGCGGCCGTCTTACTTTTGGAGCAGGTTTTTTCGATGAAGCATTTGTTTCTTCATCGTCCTGCTTCGATTTCAACTTCCTTCGTGGACCCGAGTCAGGCAACAACATCGAGCCACCAAGACCCCCCAGCTGTGTTAATCCCGATCCCGATGCTCGACGTGCAGGTCGTTTCTTGGCAATGGTATTTGTCGGGGGTGCGGAATTATTATTGCTGAACAGTTTGATTCTTTGTTGGAGAGTCAATGGTGGTCCGCCGCTAACACCGGAAGAAGCAGCCCCCGATTGATTCTTGACAGCAACCTTGGGCTTTTGCGGAGTTGGTGTGGTCGGCTGTTTGTTGGGTTGTGGAGTTTCCTGCACTCTGGCATCCCGTAACTGTTGTACTCTGCCCTTCACCGCCGTCAGTGCTTCGCTTCTCTCTGTCTGACTAAGTGGTTGCAGTTTGCTCGTCGGTGCCTTGCCAGGTGGTGTTGATCCCGCTTGCATTGACAGCTCCTCGTCAAAAGAAGTGTTGGGCGCCTTGTTACTCTCCAAGCTCTTTTCGCAGCTATTGGCCGCTTCTGTAGGCGCCGTGCCGTTGCTTGCCATATCGAAGCCAGACCCCGAATCCCCCTTCTTTTCCACATCGTGAATATCACGCTGCATGTTCAAACTACTGTTGCTGCCGTCGGCAAGATTGTTGTCGTCCTGATCATCCCCTTCTTCACTGCTGCTGCTGCTGGAGCTGCTGCTACTACTACTGCTGCTGCTGCTACTGTCGTCCTCTTCGTCACCGTCCCCCATTGCGGCGTCGCTGTTTTCCATGGCATTCAAACTGGAAGCACTGTTTTCCATCGCTTTCAGACTGGACGCACTGTTTTCCATCGCGTTCAAACTGGGGACACTGTTTTCCCCTTGCAGTTGCGATTCACTGTCGTTCAAGGCCGCATCACTGTCTTCCATGGCATTCAAACTACCTGCACTGTTTTCCATCATGTTCAAACTACCTGCACTGTTTTCCATGACATTCAAACTGCCCACACTGTTTTCCATGTTATGGTTCAAACTACTGCTGGCACTCATGTCGTGTTGTTCCATACTATTGTTGCTTTCGTGCAAAAAGCTCAAACTGCCCTGACTGTCTTCCATGCTATTCTTCTTGTTGTGACTACTGCCCATGGCACCGGGGAGACCACCCAACAAGGATTTCTTTTTGGGTTTTGTGGCCTTGGGGGATTTACTTCTTCTTGCACCACTGTTTTTATCATTGTTGTCGTTGTCCTCCGCAGAATTTCCTCGACTCTTTTCTTCTTGTTCGACTTCTTCCATGATATCAAAAATATTGGAATTGCTGGTTTCTCCCCGCAAGGATTCCTTGGCCATGAAGAGTGCCAAATGTCCTGCTTTTTTCTTTTTCTTCTTTTTCTTTTTCTTGCGCGTGTGGGTGTCGTCTCCTTCCGTGGCGGCACTGTGATGCGATGAACTACTGAGATCTGTCATTACGTTGCCAGCATTTGCGTTGGTGGTGGCGGACGTGGTGAGTCGAAATAGTTTTTTGGGTTCCTTGTTGTGTCGTATGTTGTTGTAGCCAAACCACGATTGTTTGGTTTTGGTGTATTCCATCATGGCCGGACTGGATTGGAAGGACGTGACGGACTTGGCATCATCGTCGGTGTCGCGTCCCGATCCAATCATGACGGTGTGATCGTCGGCCCAGAGTCCGCGATTGCCCTTTTGATTGGCGACGCCTCGTTTTTTGGATTTGCGTCTATTTTTGGAATATCGTTTCATTTCACTATTGTGAATGTTCAATCGATTCCATCCTGTACTGAGAACGGCGGAATGAAGCGAGACATTGTCGTCGTCCAAAATGGAATGGACCGAGAATTTGCCACTGCCGCCGGACTGGTTACTGCCGTGACGCATGGGTGTGCGACGACGCCGCGACGGGAGGACCATTTTGGCCACGTCTTCTTTGGTAATCTTTTTGACGGGCGATGAAGTTACTTGAGTAGAGTTGTTGTTGGTTGTTTTCTTGGGCGACGTGGGATGCAACAATTTGTGCATGGCTTCTTGTTGATCTTGTTGCAGATTGAGGATTTGTTGTTGTTTGAGATGCTGGAATTGTTCTTCCTTGTCTTGCGTTTCCGTGGGAGCATCGGCAGTGGTGTTGTTGAAATTCAGCGACGACGACGATCGATTGTTCTTGTTGTTGGACTCGACGCTGTTGTAGCTGCTGCGTCGACTGTTGTTGTTTGGTTCGTCGTCCTCTTTTTCGTCACCACCACCACCCAAGGAAATTTCTTCCATAGCGTTGTCATCCAACAACTCCGCTTGTACAGCCGCTTGCATTTGTTGTTTTTGCAATTGGGTAAATGTGACTCTATTTTTCAATTTGAGCGCAAAGGACATGACAATGGCTTCGACGCGATTGGCTTGTTTGAATTCCCATCGTGACAGGTTGTCTTGATTGCTACTAGCAGCAGCACTGCTAGGCACCACGCTTTCTCGAATGACACTTTTACACAGTGCCGTGACTTCATCGTCTTCTTCCAAATCGGGATATTCCCACCATGGAATTTCTTCGTAATCTTGTTCGTACCAAGGAACATCGTCGTGATCTTGTGTTTGAAAGGTCGGATTGTACATGGACGCCACAGCCTCATCGGGATCAAATTCCTTTTCTTCCACATGCACTTCGTGGTATTCGACTTCATAGTCGTCCGGATTGCGATCTTCGTCGTCTTCATCAAAGATCAGCATTTTGGCAATTTGCGCCCGCGGAGGATGAAAGACCACTTTGGGCGGACGCGTCTTGTGACTGGCACTGCGGCGGACGCGACGATTGGTGTTCTTGGCATCCAGTGTTACATTGCGCCATAGGTTGACGATGCGAGCCATTTTCGACAATTCACCGGCGCTAGTCTGACATTTGCGGAGTTTCTTGTGGTTGGTGTGGTTGTTACTGTTGCTGCTACTGCCGGCGTTGGTCAGAGACGAGCGACGACGATTCGCACGGCGAGACCCGCCACTGCTGTTCCCCAACGAAGGATCGCTACTGTCCATCGTCATGGTCATCTCTCAGAACAACACAATCACACACAGATGGTAGTAGAAGAGTCGAAAAGAGAGAACCTCCTTTCTCACAACAATGGCAGCAGCGGTGCTCTGATCACCACCACTTTGGGATCGTATGAATGAATGAATGAATGCGCTGCTCCAACTCAGCTGAGGCTGTCGTCACTCTGCAAAACCTTTACTGGCTTCCCGTGAGGTGTGAGGGTACTAGCTAGTACTTCTTTGCCAGGCCATCCAAGGAAGTACCAGCATACCAGCTCCCCTTGAATAGTACTAGTAGAAGGAATGATGAGACTTGTGGAGCATCCGATCTCGTGGTCCTTCTATTACGTGCTTGCTTGCCTTGAAGCGCCCCTCCAAGCAACGGCAAAGCGTGACAATATTGGCCACCAGTGGTCATTCGACTTACTGAGGATCGCTTTTGGTACTTATGGGCAGAAGCAATCCCAGTTCTTGTGATGACTCATCTGGTTTTAAGGGTCCAGCACGTTAATTCCGTACCAAACTTTGACGTGACCTTGATAATGTCCACTTGAACTGTCAAAAGGAGGGAAGTATGATTTAACCACGAGTCGACCAAGTCGATTCAATAGAGACCTGGCCCGTCTCACATTTTGATCCAATTTCAAACTTTTTGTTTTGAAAGCCTTGAGACTGTAGCCATTGCTTCTTTCATTCTCTGGGAGCAGTTCAAAAACTTTCATGTCGTCTTTGAAAGACTTGACGACAATGAACTATTTGAGGAAGACACCGAGTTTAAGTTTGATGCCGTCTTTCAAAATCAAAATTCAAACTTTGAATTCAATGTGGTCCTCAGAGAAACCACGCCCTTTCTTCGAAGTCATTTTCTGGGTTTTGCTTTCTTCACCAATCCGCAACCAAACCACAACCTACTAGCTACATCATCATTCTTCAAGCACAGCACCAAACTGACTATGCGTCGATTCATCCTTTCCAAGACACTGATACTATCCGTTCTCGCCACCTTGCCTGTGACGCTGTCATCTATTTGTGTACTCTGCGAAAATGGCGTTCAGTGGCCCTTTCATATAGTCGATCCTCATGGCACCACCTGCATTGATCAATCTCTTCAAATGGCAATCACATTGACCGACACTTCTCCCACTTGCCATTCGCAGATTCAACGCTTTCATCGCATATGTTGTGATAGCCAGGAGACACCTCCCATCATCGCTCAAGCACCGACACCGGCCCCGACGCCCATTCCCGTTACTGGAAAGAATCTACCGTGCGATATCTGTTGGACAGGAGACTATCCGGGAAATACAGCCATGGTCATCAACATGCTCAACATTGGATATGGATCCTGTGCGCAATTCTACAAGGAAGGACAAGCCGGTAATATCCCGAATGAGTTGTGCGATACGCTACAATACTTTGCCTACGAGCCATGTGGATGTGGAGAGTTCAATACCAATCTGAATCTGAATCGTCAACACAATGTCTTTACCAGCAGTCCCACCGAGCCCGTGCCAACGACCAGTCCACCAACGTTGCACCCATCTTCAGTTCCATCCTGGCGACCTTCCGATGCGCCCTCGAGTGCACCAAGTGCATTGCCATCCATGTCACCATCGTCGACGCCATCCACAGCTCCCTCATTGACTCCTTCGGAATCGCCCTCTCTGTCACCGTCGGCACCCGAAACGGATTGGCCGACCACGACAGCACCTTCGGAAACTCCGGCTCCCGATAAGGATTACCCAACCACGATTTCTGTTTCAGACTCACCCACTACAATAGCACCCTCGGAAACTCCCGGCCCTGATACCGATCCCCCCTCGGTCTCTGCATCAGACGCACCCACGGCTTTACCTTCCGAAACTCCAGCTCCGGATACCTATTACCCAACTATTTCGACAACTCCACTTCCGACATCATTGTCCACCATTGCGCCCTCCGAAGCACCCTCACGCTACTCGACCCCAGCATCCATCGCTCCGCCCCCGACCAGTAGCCCAACGACGCCAGCACCACCGCTGAGACGAGCCACACAAGTATCCACGCAACAGCCTACATCACCGCTTCCGACTACTCGAGTGCACGAAACCAAAGGACACGGCAAAATGGCAATGAAAGCCAAACACCACGGAACGATGAAGGGCATGATGGAGGCGACATTTCTACGGACAAGACGACGGGATGCTCGGGGGGCTCTCTACAAATAAAAGTATACGAGACGAGGCTGCACAAGGGAACAGCACCCTTTTCAAAACAACCTATATTGTGACCAACCACAAACTACTAAATTGATAATATATTATTGCCTTCGAAGCTCGTTCAGTAGAATAGATAGCCAGCATATTATACATGTTGGAAGCGTAGACATCGAACTCGCCCCAGCAGGCTGCCCACCTTGCTTCTTCGTTCTTTCCGGTTATCATCTTTGCTTGTTCGTGCAATCACAGAAGAACGTTTGATTCATTGTGTTTGGAAGGACACAAGGGGCTTTCTCGCGAGACAGGACCCTTCACAAGATCATCAAACTCTGGGTAGCTAGCTAGACGTCTCCCCCGTAAATCAGCAGATCCAACCCGGCGAAGCTCCCGACGACCTTCCTTGAATGCATGATTCAGTTTCCCACTTTTTTACGGTACCGGTACCCCGTTGCAGCCGTCATATTCGTACGATGTATTGCTGAGTCTGCTATGTACTTCTGCCCCTTCGTGACTCGTCGTTCATGTCACCCAGTTCATAGTCAAGGCATCGCCACAACGCCACAACAGAACAGTGTCTTCAAGACTGTCCAAAGCTTAGTTGCCTCCACAAGTAAGTGTTTGTTGCCTCACCTACTTTCTTCTGGACGCAAAGGATTTCCACGTTGTAGAGATCTTCCACGGTGTGTGGTGGTCTTGGCATGTAGTTCCTAAATCTTGTGTCTTCAAGTGTAGATTTAGCACCGTGAATCCTTCGATCTCCAAGATTCTAAACGCTGATGAAGCATCCTTAACAAAAGAGTATGAATGCCGTTTTGCTGGGACTTTCCGGAAGACCGATCTACCTGATCTTACAGAAGGGCATCTTTCGCACCCTGTTCTTCATGAAGTGCGTGTCATTTTACGTTCAGAAACGAACCACCACGCATGCTGCATCCGCGACCTTTACCGGCAAGCAAGATAAGCTCAAGATCCTACCACAAAACTACTTAGATACAAGCAGGACATCAGTCTTCCTGGTGTTGAGCAGGCATTTGGGAGTATCAAGAAGCAAGAGGCCCAGAGTTGCGGAGTCAAGTCGAGTCTCACTTATACTTTTCTTTGTCCCCCGGAAAGAACACGACAACAACACAACCTGAAAGAAGAAACAGCAGAAGAATGGGATACTTTGACAGCAGCGACGATGATTCTGACTACGATGACGAAGTGAGGCTGCGACCCATTGCTACCAAGAAGAAGAAGTCTTTCTTGGACGATAGCTTTGTTGGTTTGGGCAGTGATTCTGAGGACGACGATGATTCTGATGACGAGTCCTTCATGGGTGCCTTTCGAAAGAGTCAGGTGGTTGCCACCAAGAGAAACGAGGACCTCAAAGGCAAGCAGCTTCTACTGGATACAACGGAAAAGACACATCCCGAAGAATTCAGCGAGGAGGCACAAGAAGACGACTTATTACCAGAGGAAGAACCAGATGAAAGAGTCTACAGGGAAACATCTGTGGATTGGTTTGAGACTCTGGCGCGTATCAAGAGGAACACCTCTCGCAGCAAACGAGGAGCCGTCAATGTGATGTTTGTAGAGCCAGTTGTTACTGAGATGCTGGAGTTCTTGCAACATGAAGACTCTGCTCTGTCAGTCAACGATGAAAATCATGTGGCAGAAGATCATGATGATATTCCCTGGTATGAACAGGATTACCAAGAATTGCCATGGTATGAACAGCCAGATTTGGATGAAGATGATGCCTTGACGGCTCTTTGCAAAAAAGTACTGACTGCTGGCGAAGAAGGCGAAGAGAATCAAAAGCGATTGCAGGAATATGCAGAACGCGTCGAAGCCAGAGTGATAGGATTTGCCCTGAAACTACGCAATCGGGCTCGCAGTCCTTCTTCTCGTCAGAAGAATTGAATTGGTTGGGTCCTCATGCAGCTAATTTGTGGTGATAGCGTCACAGATAGAGATTGGCTGGCTGTTGGGTATCCTTTGCGCTTTGCATTAACTTATACATAAATGGGATTTTAGAATATCTGTTACTGATTTTTGTGTGTGTTTTTGTTTGTCTCCCTGCTTGCATTTAAATCAACTCGGCATGTTGCTACTCGTCTCTGGCAGCAAAACCATAACGTTGGCACTGTCAATGGTTCCCCCCGTGCATCCTCTTGACGAATTTCATGTACATGTACCGGTACCGGTACATTGTAGCAAGCTAGCTAGTAGGCTAGTCTCTGTTTTTTCCAGACGGCACCTGTATCTTGCCATCAACAGTCCTTCCACCGTGGGCCCAATTGGACGCCAAAGACCCATTCAAGAAGGCGTGTCCAGTAGCAACACCGGTCCTGTAAAGACACAACCAAGATCAACTTGCAAAGCGCTCAAAATGCAGCACAGCTGCCATGTCGGAGCTCATGGCTTCAAATTACTTTACCAGTGTTCATGCAGCTCTGTTGGCTTGTTACTCGAACCAGAAGCATAGCTTCTTTTTGAATCCATCGGTAATTCCTCCAGTCGTATGGCGTGATGGCGCATGGCATTTGCAACGAGTTCGCACCATTCACTTGTTTTGGGTGACGTTGAATGAGAGCTCGCCACCAAAACCGACTCTTGGAAGTCAAAAGCACACAATTTCACAATTTTGTTACTGGCTCCATTCAAAACCGCTTCATGCCACACGCACCGCGGTACTTTCACCGGCTCTCCACCAATCTGATTGATTACATCACTACGATACAACCACATTCAGCTGTAGAGGAGTAGATAGATAGTAGACATGACAACAGGGCCAAAGCTAAAACCTCGGAGCTGGGAGGAACTCTACCAGCGCTATCTGATTATAACGATCAGCATGGTCACTGTAACGTGAGTTATGAGCATTGCGACACCGGCTTGAGATGCTTTGTTGCCAAGTTACGACGTACTAGAGACAAGCTTACAGCTGACCAACGCAAGAAACTGGACTTGATTGGCTTTGATTTATCAACACTGGAAGAGCGACAAGAACGTATGTGGGAGCGCAAGCTAGAGAGACTCAAGGAATTTCGTAGAAACTTTGGGCACTCCAATGTGCCACAGTCAGCGACATTCGATGCTGATTTGTTCGCTTGGGCTCAAGAACTGGGAGCATGGGTACAGGGCCAACGACAATTATACAAGCAGCAGAGATTGTTGCCGCATCGATTGTTGAAGCTTGAAGCAATTGGCTTTCAATGGGTCCTTTGCGCGCGCACCAAGGAGAAAGACTCGACCAAGGATGACAAGAAGTGGCAGGCAATGTATCTGCAGCTTGTTGACTTCCAACATCAGCATGGCCACGTCAATGTTGCAAAACCACACCGAAATGCTCCACAGGATTACAGAAAGCTGGCTCATTGGGTGTCAACTCAGAGATGTGACCAGAAGAGTGGCATCTTGCGCAAAAATCGAAAGAATCTGTTGGACAGTCTTGGCTTTGTGTGGAGGATGGAAAAGGGGGACGCAGCAGCCTGGGAAGACTATTACCAGGAGCTGATCAAGTTCAATGAATTGAATGGACACTTCAATATACCTACAAAGCACAGGTCCTTTCATTGGGCACATTTCCAACGCCGTGCTCGTCGACAAGGAACTCTTAGTAAGGAAAAAGAGGAGGCACTGAACAAGATTGGATTCAATTGGGAATCCAAAAAGAGGGGTTGGAACATGAAGAAAGGCACTGATGAAAGAGAGGTACATGATAAACGAAGGAAAACTGCACGTGAGCGAAAGGAACATGTTGGATCACGAGTGGCTGTGTACTGGTCAGATGATGATGAATACTATGAGGGTGTGGTTACCAGGGAGCAAAAGGATGGAACATTCCATGTGCGATATGACGATGGTGAATCAGAGTGGGTGTCCCCGGATGCATTCCAGTTCAAGTTCTTGAAAGATGGAAAATCTGCGAAGTTGGACAATGGAAAGGTTGAATTGTTGGCCAAATTGGCAAAAGGAACCCGAGTTGCTGTGTGGTGGCCATCTGAGGAAGAATACTTCAATGCTACAGTTATGAAGATTTGCAATGACAATGTGAATCCGCACTACCTGTGGTATGATGATGGTGATTCCCAACAAACCAATCTGCTTTACACAAAATTCAAGCTCTTGGAAGATGACCCCAAAGATAATTTGGAATGTACATTGAGCTGTACTTTGTGAGCGAATGAGTGCAGTGGCATCTCTGTCTGGTTCTGGTGGCCTTCAGACAAACTTGTGCATGGATAACTATTTGATTTGTCCATGAACAAGATTCTTTGTGAGGGCTTTCTGTGTGAACAAGTTTTTTGATTTTCTTTTGACTACTTCCCAATAACCTTTAGCTTGCAATCATCAAAATTACTGTCCAAGTGTTTGCCTATGTACATTCCGAGAAGCTGGTGATCCAGTGAAAGCTGCTCCTGCTCTCTGCCAAGTGAATTGTTTCTTGCAATCAATCAATTTATTGGTCCATTTTTTTGTTACTTATTATCTACATAAATAGTTAGCTGTTGTTTGTTCCTAGTCTAGTCTGCTCTTGCTATGCACATAAGTGTGGACCCGATTAACTAGCTAGAAGCTATGCTATTAGATGTGCTTCCATTGCTTAGTCTACCTCATGGCAGCTAACGCTGGCTGTGAATCCAATAAAACATACATGTACGGGAACCAAACAAAATATTATCAATGGCATCCTAATCTGCAACAATATATATATAAATGATCAGTCTTCACAGTTTCTTTTGATTTGTAAAGTTGAAACCTTCCTGGCTTAGGAGTCTCACTTGTCCTTTCCACCTCACCCCAAGACTTATACACAGTTGATTCCAAAAGGCAATTTGCAGCTAAGTCCACTAGATCCCAGTGTGTAATAAGAAATTGCTAGCAGGTAGTTGCATTCCAATACAATCCAGTCCAGGTTCCGTACATCAAACCATCAAACTCTGTTTCTTCAACACAAACAAATGCACATACATCTTTTAAATTGAGAGTGGAGTGGTGTGTTCCTGTGCCTCAAGGTTGTGATCTGTCAATGCCAAAACACACTGCTTTGAAAAAAATTCCTCATCACATCTCAAGTTGGCTTCCTCCATCTCATTGATCAGCTTTCTGACACTTTTGACCATGCTCTTGCCATGCTGGTTGAAAACAAATGCGTCCCTGTCCCTTTCAGCAGTACATGTAGTGCACGATCTCCAGGTTAGGCTACGGGAATACCGGTTGGCAATGACAGCAATGAACTTATTCTTTAGAACGCTGTAATTGGCAATCATTCTATGCCATCATCTCCGGCATCAACTGTGTCATCCATCCACTGTTCACACCGCTATCACATGTTGTAGCTGTAGGCAAAAGCCAGACTGAAAGCAAATTACAAGCTTGTCTAGTGTACTATTCATACCGGTATGGAGCTACCCTATGGAGCCACCGGTACCAATTCCAATACAACCAGCGAAGAGCGCTCGCAGTGGTTTGTTCCATCGATTATATCGGCTGCCTGACAGCTGCAGCCAAATAAATGTGGAACGAGGTGTTCACACCTGTGAAAGCTATTCTATTGGCAACAGCCAGACAAAAAGCACAGTACTTGGTTGTCATTCCTATGGGGCTACCAATTCCAATTCCAATTCCAATACATTCATGCAGACCATGAAGTTAGTTGTGTCTACAGCTTTTTACTCTTCTCCTCACAATACATTCCTCTTGGAAGCAGTATTCTGATAGGGCCTGAGCACATATTCACTGTCGGCATCTGTTTGCTCCAATGTCCCCAATCGTATTTGATATAGTTTCATTTCGAATCGGGGACCCACTTCATGGAGTGCCACGTTGTCATGAGCTGGCTTGCTGTACATGTGATGTCGAAAGGAGATAAAATCGGATTGGTTGGCAAATGTAATGACCCTTTTGGAATCACCGCGGGGCACCGGAAAGAGGCACTTTAGAATATTTCCAACACGCTTTCCCAGATCGGTATTGAAATTGTTGAGTATCAAATGTGGGTATGCTTCCGACATGGGTGCGGCAGGTGGATCCAAATCGTGTCGCATGACGGTATTGTTGAGCGAGAAAAAGGCCGTGGGGCCCAGAGGCAAGTGACAGACCACCAGGCCATCGGGTTCTCCTCGTGTTTCTTGGACAATGACAACATCTGTAAAATCCCCTTGGCGGCACGCTTGCATGAGATCTGACACGGTATTGTTTCCACGGTTGATGCGAGTCGAATTTGGCACCAATAATTTGAGTTCCTTGGAAAAATTCTTCAAGCGAGACGACGGATCGCGGCATGTCGTGACACACACACGAGGTTCGATCAGTCCTGCATCGCCGTATTCATCATCCACACGAGTATGCTGCGTGTCGGTTTTGACGTCTTCGGCGTCGACTTCTTTCTTCAAAGCATCATAGGAGGCTCTGAGTTCCGTGGGAAGAGACTTTCCCGATGCCAGGGCTTGGCGGAGTTGCTGTTTTTGCTCGTAGACGGCTCTGTCACGACCCTCCAATGACTTTTTGTACAGGTACTCACGGCGAAGACGAGTCTGTCTCCGAAGAGAGGCTGAGTTCGTTGATGATGGCGGCATGGTGGTACAGTATCAACAATGCAATGCAGAAGCTAGAGTTGGAGAAAAATGATCCCAGAGATCGCAGCAAAGAGTGCAAAACTCGAGGGGTTGCTTGGTTGGCCTAGGCGCATGATGGGATATGAGCGCAATCTAAGCCAAGCCAGCCAAGCCAGTCAAGCCAGCAAAGCCAGATATTAGTTGATAGTTGATGCCGAAGAAAGCTTCTTGAAGAGGGGAGGCGCAGTGTTGAGCTGAGCAGCTGAGCTGCAGTCTGCCTTCCTTTCTCTCAACCAGATGACCTGGTGAATACTGGTACCACCTCATCAGAGTGTACCACGATCCAGCTGAAAAAGGGAGCTGAATAGTTTTCCATCATGAAGGTGTCCTTTGTGTTGTCTGGAAGCTGTTTGACGTTATGGCAATTAACCAGATGCAGTGCCAAGGTATCCCGAAGTAGCCGAAGTTTCTTCAGCTGCTGCTGCAGAAGCACGGGGCATTTGGTAGATGCGAGATATCTCAGGCAAGCAAGGTTGTTCCTTTGGCAGAAGAAAGAACTCCCTCTGGCTAGGCCCATCGTCTCAAGCACTACACCTCGAGTCAGTCAAGTTGGGTTGGATGCAAACTAGGAGTTACAGTATGTTATATAAAATGCTACCGGCATGACTGCCTCGCAAGCTACCAAATATGATATGTAGATTTGACGACTACCTCGATTGATTCCACCACGCTGAGATTCTGAAGCAAATATTCTATGAAAGAACGATAGGGCAAACTTGATAGCGAAATGTAGTCGAGCGGAATCCCACGTGCGAGAGGCGAACCCATCCTTCCCCCGCCACACTGTTTTGGTCATGACATGAATGCAGCAATCAGCATCATTGGTCATCAGCTGTCCATTGACTATGTAGTTCTTGCCTTCTTGGCCTCTGGTGGATCCTCCGAGCTGTTGCTTGGTGATCCGGCATTCGCAGCTGCTGCTGCACCCATGCTCTCCAACTCCCGTTTGCGACGCAAAATTTCGACAAGGCCGTCCTGTTGAAAGGACGCGGGAGCGAGGGAACCGTGTAGGACAGATGCGTTCAAGGCGGCCCGTGATTGCAGCAAGTCTGATCCGGCAAACCCTCCCAGGCCCATGCCCGGACGCAACATGCCCCTGGGTGGGAAGAGAGAGCCAAATGTACCGGCTCCCGACATGGAAGAGTGTAGTGGCAATCCTGACGCGCCCAGGAAACCAGCGGGTGAACCGTAGATTGGATCCAACAGAGCCGCTCGTCGAGCCAGTAGCATGTCGGTGTGAGTTGGCGGAGGCACACCAGCGGCCCCCAGAGCCGCAATTCGGGACCTCTCTTGGATCATGGCTTGCAGCATCAAGTCTTGCGAGGCTCCAACACCCAAGCCCATTGGCATTCTCTGAAGGTGATGAAGGCTGGCGGCGCCTGGCAATCCTGCTTGACCGCCCAAGGGTGTCGGGGAACCCCGACGAAGCTGATTGGTATGAGCTGCGGTGAGTAAGGTTGGTTTCTTCTTTTTGGGTTTGGAAGTGGGGCTCTTGGGAGATTTCCGAGGCGGAGCTGCTTCTTTGGCCGCGATAATGGCAATTCTGCTCTTTTTGAAATCTTCCTCAAGCTCTATGAGCTTCTCTTGTCGCTTCAGAGCCTCGTCGGGGTCCAACTCGAGAGCCCCCTTGGTGTACGGGAGCCTCCCATTGTAGCCAGACCCTTCGTACTTCTTGGAGATACGCTTGGTTGGGCACATGAGCTTTTCAGCAAGATAGCCGCGCATCGTTGTTTTTTCCGGCAAGTCTGGGATGTTACCATCGCGGAACTCTTCAATGAGAGCGGTGGCATAGCGCTTCTCCTCTCCGGTCCAAGCACCAGAATAGAGCTGGTCGAGTTCTGTGCCAGTAATTGCCGGCTTGGGAGGAACTGGTTCATCATTGGATGCTGGTGCTTCCTCGCATTTTGGAGCTTCCTTTGAAGGTTCATTTTGAGTACCTGAATAAAAAGGACCAATTTGGGAAGGGAACTTGGATGAGCGAATGGGTTCAATCCTATGCTTGCACGCTCACAACGAGACCAGCACACCGCAGAGACCCTCTAACGACACAAGACTACCAACGTCACTACATACCTGTTTCTTCTTCTTTAGTAGCGCCGCCTGACACTTTCTCCTCTGGCTTTTCCATGGTCGACATCATTTGAGGTTCTGCTTTTGGTGCTGGGTGGAGGTGGTGGTGAAAGGTGATAGTTTTTGTGAACAGAACTCAGGCAAGCAACAAGTTCCCAAGCAAGTTCCTACAAACTGCAGGGAAATGATGCTCTCGCGGTGCTGAGCACTTGGGAGAACTTGCCCTGAAGGCGTCTGCAAGGGGAGAGCAGTGCGTTGCGTGATTGCGTGGAGGTATGTAAAGGACGCACTCCACCTTCAAGCCTTCTCATCATCAGCAACTGCTCACTTAAAAGGGTATCCGTAAACCGAAGGGGTGCAACAGAGTAACCAACGGCTAAAACATAACCTTCAAGCCTGCACCCAAGATTTAAAACGTGGAGACACTGGTAAATGATATGGGACAATCGGAAGCTGCAGGCCTTAAGATATATAGACTTCTCCAACGAGAGAAGTGCCTCATAGTGAAGAGTACTCTGAATAGTAGACAGCATCAGTAGCTCAAGAGCTAGCTCAAGCTTGTGAGTTATTAGCTCATGAGCTATCAACCGTGTTAATTAATTTTTCTACCAGTAGCCACTTCTCAGTACGGTGGCTAGGTACCGGTAGCAATTTATGTATGATACGCACTCTGGTAGTACCGGTCTTCTAGCTAGTTATGAGTACTGGTACTCAGTACTGGGTACTAATAGTATGCACAGAAGCAGCTGCTAAGCATAGGTTCACTCAAAACTCAATAATAAGAAGGCTTCAAATTTCAGACATTACTCAGAGGCATTCTTCCTGGTTGGTACATAATTTCAACACTTGTTTCCTTCTTACCAATCAAGCAGATATCAGTAAAGAAGACTTTCTTCCTAAGCTTCTAGATCAAAGAGGTCAGTATTTGGATACACCCAGGGCATCTGGGTCTATGGGTCCAACTTGCTCAGGACTCACATCATTTGGCTTGGATCAAGTAGAGAAGGTGATCACTGTCTCTGCGGTGAGGCAGAAAATTTGTAGACCTCTACTAGGCACAAGCTTGTAGCCTTTTCATGGTTTTAGACTAGATATTTGTATTTCTTTGTTTCGAGTGGAGTCTGGGATATGTCAGTACTCGTACATCGTATCAAGAGATTCTTACCTTTTTCTAGAACGGTTCTATCTCACATTCTTAGAATCAAGTTAGGAGTGGTGCACTAGAAGTTCGAACCCTCCAACCCTAACGAGTTTCACTCTACTGTCAACAAAAGCGACACCTCTACGTCAGCCAGAAAACGGCTTCCTTCTTAAAAGGCTTCCGCACAGAGGCTTCCCTTGAAGCTACATGTACTAGCTAGCTACAGTAGTACAGTATGGAGTACTCGGAGTAATTATTATCACATACTAGTAGCTATTACCACTTCTTCAGTCTTGAGTACAGTGTACAATGTACAATGATACTCACCCACTCGAGTATTATTGCAGAATTGCAGAAGAGAAGCAGTCACTATCTTCGATGAGACCGGCAACCAAGAGGTTTGTTAATGCCAAGCGCCAAGCTAATAAGGCTCAAGTCAGCCCTCAAGTCATGGATGGTTTAAAATTCGGGTTTTACAATAAAATAAGGGGAAGGAGTCATTATTATCTCCGATATCTGTTTTAATTAATGCCATTGAAGAAGGTTCCCTCAAGTCATGGATGGTTATTTCAGGACTAGAAAATAGATTAATACCGGTATAACTCTCGACGCAGTATTCAGTAAATCTGCGTCGTAGTGGCTTAAAAAGATGTAATAAGTTGGTTTAACCACTGCGCGAGAGAGGAGCGGAGAACTGGAGAACGCTATGGATGCGATGACGCGACGCAGACAGCATGATTTCTTTATTCTTGTTCTGGCCACGGTGTACCAGTACAGCAGCTACTAGTACCAGTACTGCGGTAGCTAATACATGTAGTACCTTTACTAGCTACCAGACGGGTTGCCATTATTTGGCACTCTCGTTTCTTGCCCAGTACGTTGCTACCGGTACAACAGTTTTAGAACTCGCGGGGCTGAACCTCCAATGCTTCGGTACAGCTTGTAGTGGTACGTACCAGTACCAGTACTGGTACAAGGCATGAAGGGTTGCTGATGACTTCATGGAGGCAGCTCAGCCTAGGAGTTCCCTTCAAGCGGCCTATCATCTACCATCTGCGTTGTATTCTTTGGCCAGAGTAGATACCTCAAGTTGACTTTGCTTGCATCTTCCAGGACAAAACAAAGAAGCAACAAGGGAAGCCGTTAGTCATGAAAAAACAAAAACACCATTGGCCACTTGTTGAATCAATACCTGTTGGTGGTCTATGCATCTCAGCACTGGTGTAGGCTCTTTTGCTGAGTTGATGTTGTTTGCTTGATTGCTCGTATGCCGTATGCCAACATGACTTTTGGACCGAAGCCGTTGCAATTGCTGCGTGGCGTTGGGTGCCACAGTCACCTGCAGCGATCAAACCTCCCTGTAGCTTTGCATGCTAATTAATAAGTCTCGGACAGAGCGCGAACAAAGTGAAGGCAGCGGAGATAACAGCTTGCCCATGCCCATTGTTGGAAGGAAAATACATGTAGGAAAAAGGCTACAACAACGTGAAGAAAGAAAGCTTGAAAGAAGCAAACTTTTAGTATCGAACGCAATTTCCGAGTCAATGTGGGAGGTTCACCCTTGCCTCATGGTCCATGTCCTTTCTTCGTCTCGGCTACTGGTGTGATGGTTCGATAAGATCGTTGGGTAGCGGTGATCCCTGTCTGTTCTACCTGTTCCTGTGTGTGTGCAGGTTTGATGCGAGCATTGGTAAAGCATTGGCAGCCAACCAGTAACCGCGGCCCAGAGCGTGGTCGCTTGGAGGAAGCATGTGACTTTTGGTTGCTCTGGCTTTCTGGCTCTTACCAGTTGATTGACTTGAAGAGTGAAGGCCAAATGGACAAGTTGAAGCATGAAGTATTAGGCAGGTTTGCACAATGGTACCTCCAGGCTGCAGCAGCTTCACCAATGCTTCGCTCAACGATCGTTGCCCAGGCGTCCCCAGTTCGGCTCAACTGGCAGAGATATGTACGTGAACATGTATCGTATTGTGGTAAACCAGACCAGCGCTCCACCCCGGTTCACCAGGGTCCAAATACTGTAGTTCATGGATGGTTGGATTCGATTCATTCTGGTTCATTCTGCTCCTCAAAGTCGCAGTCAGAACGCTGGATTGACTTTTCTTTGTGCAGTGTTTAGAGCGAAGAGTGCCACCAATAACAAGCAATCAAGCAATCGCACTGCTGACAGCAGAGGTTCGCTTCATGCTTCGGGCACAACAGACAACAGCTATGGTTTCGTCCATGGTCCATGGTCACGTTTTTCTACTAGGCCTAGCTAGCAGGCAAGGCCACTGGAGTACTAGTAGGTCTTGCTACCTGGTCTTCACCTTGTCAAGACTTAGTGGCCTAGATTTACTACAGCGTACTAGGTACTGGCATTAGACTTATTTGCGGCCACCCCTCTACATGTAATCCATTTCATTTCAGGCCTCTCATTCACCACCCTACAGACAGGCTTGAAACTCTTGACCTGCCTACAACAGTAGCTATTAGCTTGGCTCGTTGGCTCTACCGGTAGCTAGCTAGTATCTATGCGCATACACAAGGTATGGCTCTGCATTGTGCTTGTGCATTGTGCTTGCAGTCTTTCATCTCACTCGAGCTGGAGGGCGGCGGGAACGGAACGACGATGTGATAGCCTATTGCTTTATTGCCCATGACTGAGTTTCACCGGGCACTCAAGCAGGGTTCGTTTGACAGGATCGTCTCTAACGCTGACTTGCTCTACCATCCAGTACTCGAGTTCGAAGTATGAGTGCACAGTGTACCAGTTCTTTTGGCTTCTCCTTCCTCTGAGATTGCTTTCCGATTTCCGAGACGCTCCGAAAGAGCAGTAGTTCGGCAACTACATACATACATCATGTACAAACTACGCCAGCAGCCGGTAGGACATGCATTCATGATGACATTGTACATTGTAGATTGTAGACTTTGTAAACATTGCTGAATGAGTGGCTTCTCGAGCTTTTCACGTTGAGCGGGAGTTTATGGTGGTCTTTCGTTTTCGGTCGTGGTGTATGTAGTACTACTGTAGCTATGTAGTTGCATTGGTCTTGACACCTTGACACCTTGGTTCTTCATCGTAGAAGATTAGGAAGCACAACCTGTCTTATAGCTGCTGCTGACCTGTCGCCAAAACAGGCCTGCAAAACAATGGCTGCGCAGAAGAAGGCCCTTGTAGTATTGCATATAGCGGGAAAGCTGCTGCCTATGCAAAGTACGCACCGTGCCGTACGGTATGAGCTCTGCCGTATGCTAAGCAACTGCACACAGCTCATGAGCTGTGCAAGGAGAGTTATCACAGGAGTGACAGTCCATACGGGTAGCACTCCAGTCCGCAAACCGTAAACCATGGTTACACCGTTTTTTTTTAAAAGGGCATTGGCGGTGGAACTTGGCTGGAACAATCTTTGGAATTGGCCATTCTGACTTTTAACTATTGTCTGAAGTGCCTCCACTTTAAATTTCTGACATTTTTTGGTGTCATGTAAACTCTCTACCGGTACAGACCAGTCCTAGTGAAGATATCACGTTTGGACCGCCTTAATTCTCATGAGATCACGGTTGTTCTTAGGTACTGTACTTCAACAGAGTGTGATAACCGAAGTATGCGTTCGTCATTCTGTTGCATTCTTTAGAGATATTGAAGTCAAGAACTCCTAGCTTCTGAAACGACAACCAACTTCGCACTTCACGCATGGATCAATGCCAAGAAGCGTCGTATCCAATAGTGTTGCTTGCCCCACAAGACCTTCTTGTTTGCTGACGTTTTGCTTCTGGATCTATCAAACAGGTATCATACGCAACTCAACAAGATCACTGGTTCTTGATCCACGGAACCTACTGCCTTATTTCCACCACGTCCTTACCAGAACCGCTGGAATCCGAAGATAGATTAATACTGGTATGATATCCTGTCTATTGGTGAGCTATTGGTGTTACTGTCAAAGGGTCACCAAAGCCAATGCAGACTGGATGGTAGGTTCTTGAAGCTACTGTATCACTTTTTTTACCACCCTCCCAAGCTTCTCACTCACAACTTTTCCACTTCAATAGGCGAAAACCCACTCCAGTTGAAGCAATCTCTCCATCAAAATATCAACATCTCATCCACCATGTACCCCCAAGACAACAGCAATAACTCTACCCGCTGCAACCCCGGCACTGCAGTAGCGGCAGCATCCCTTCCTGACTCCTTGGACTCTCTGAGCATGGCAGCCATGATGCAACAGAATCTCAGGGCAGGACGTTTCACCCCGTCCTCCGCTTCCCCTGATCGACCCATGAGCTTGGTGGAGTTGCTTCCTCACGTGTCGCTTCGCCCGTTTTCGAGCGTGAATCGGGGCAACGAAGGCAGGATCCGACCAGCATTCGCTCAAGACGCCTTGACCCGTGACCAAATCTTGTCGGTTATTGACAGGGCTCTGTCTACCTTGGATGAGTTTGATGAAAGTAATGGAGTTGGGCAAGGACGTCGGGGTTCCACCCCGTCTTCCGAACTTCAGTCTGCTCAGTAAAGGGCCGGCTGATTGATTTGTTGCTTTGACTTGCTTCTTTGTCAATGAACTAACTAACTAACTCGTGGGATCACCAGCCACTTGCAGAAAGCTCTACCGGTGTATTTTCCCATCTTCAACGCGTCAACTATCCATTCCTCTGTGTCACTACATACTTACACACATCTGTACAAAACCCGCATCATGAGTGAAGCCTACCATAGCACTAAGTCTGTTTCTAAAACCCACCTGCATATGTACACATTCATGTCCCGTAGCAACGTACGGTAGCAGCCATGCACATGGTACGTAGACGTGACCTTCCCTGGCAAGTTCGGTAGTATGGTACCATACCGGTAGATGTGCCAAACTCGCTGAGGTGACGGTCAAAAAGTCGCTGCAAAGAGGGTCCCCGCGACACCCAACCAGCTTCAAGGTCGTCCCCTCCGCGGACCCCACCACCGAGATGTAGGCATGTTTGGGCTGACTGGCAACATGCATGGACTGTAATCCTTACAATCTGCCTAACGCCAACCCATCCTCGACCAGATCACACAATCAATCTGGCTGCTGAAGACCGGTGAGCAATATGTGCAACCCGAGACATCTTATCGAACTGGCGAGATGGTGGAAGACTGGCACCTTTTTCCCCGGGCAGTCCAGGATAGGTGAAGTTGGCTCAATCGCACCGGATGTAGTACAACAAACGCTTACATAAGTTATTAAACTCTTACTGTATTAATCCTCAACATGGTGTGCCTCTCAATTCTGTACCTTTGTGCTTCCGACAACAACGACGTCGTACTGTAGGACCTGACCTGACCTGACCATCACTTACTTTAGTAGCCATCCATCCATCACCATCCAGGATCCGACGTAATGTCACTCATTCCAGCGTAGGAGTGCGCATCGTTGGGGGCGGGCGGCATGGGATTCTGTTGGGTTGGCAGCGGTGGAAGCTGCGCAATGGTGGGCGTTTGCTGGTTCGCAGGAGGAGGAGGCGGTGGTGGCTGCTGCGGCATGGGAGGCTGCGGTTGGAACAGTGGTTGTGTGTGTGCTGGCTCTTCAAAACTGACCATTCCATAGGGACTTGTCATGGTCCCACTGTTGGTGGCTCCACCGTAGGGACTCGTTGGTGAGTTGAGCACAGCACTGTTGTTGTTGTTGAAACTATTCGTGTTGTTGTGGTTGTTGTTGATACCACCACCACTCATGTTCAACTGATTCATGCCATCCACCAGTCCCCATTCTCCATATTCCATGGCAGTGCTGTTGTTGGTACCAGAACCACTGCCACCATAGAGACCACCAGAGACTTGTCGAGCCGTTCTTCGCGCATGAAAATTGGGTTGCGTGTAGACTTGACACCTCGTGAGGGCATCATACAGGGGCTGCGCCGCGGGCGGTGTGGGGATTTGTCCTTGTAGAATTTCTTCCGGTGACACTTTGCGTCCATAAAACTTCTCATTGACGTTATGACGAGTAACAATCACCTTGCCATCGAGCGAGACACCGGCGTAGAGTCCCTTGCTCAACGAGTAGGTATAAATGGGAGCGACTTCTCGGTGGGACGCTCCGTAATCGGCTTCGACGGCACGACCGACAGGTCCTACTGCCACTCCAACATCGGCACCCAATTGGACCGATCCATTACTCGCCATGAGCATGCGCACCGATTCGTCCGTCATGCAGACAAAGACGTGATCGGATATTTGTGCACCGACCAGAGCACCCCAGGATAATCCGGCCGTGCCAATGGCACTGGGGGCACTCCACGTGTTGCTTCCACCGAGCCGCGCCACGACGAGACCCGTTCCAAATTCGGCTCCGGCCAATCCAAATCCTCCCTTGACAACTGTCAAGACAGCAATACCACGGGCTTCTTCCAACAATTTTGCGGGAATGCGGAGTCCATCGAGTTGTGCCAGTGTGGGTGTAATGGTGGAACATTCTTCTTGACATTGTTGATGAATTCCGGGAGTACCATTGTACGCAAATGTATCGACATCTTGGATAGCCCCGAGTCGTCGTTTGGGTTGTGGCAAGAGATTGTTGAGCGTATACGCCGCTTTGCGAACTTCATGTCCCAGCGTAAATGCCAATGGCGAATTAAAAAGACGTCGCATATCAGTAGGATCGATATGATTGAATCGCATGGCATGCGAATTGGAGCGCTGTAATTCGGCTTGTAGGGGTGCTAGTGTAACATGACAACCACGACACACGCGAAGGGGTTCTCGTGCCAATTGGAATCGTTCTTCGAGGCCTTTGCCATATAACAAAACTTCTCCTTGTTGTTGTTGTTGTTGTTGTTGTTGTGCCAATTGCAGTTGATCTCCGCCTCCTCCACTGGCGACATATGTCAACATGCGATCGGGATCTTCATCGGGACTAAAGGACACTCCCGATTGTAACTGTTGTGCTTGTTTGGATGTGACTTGTTTGCCTCCCTTGGGGACCAGGACAATGGCACTGGGAGGAATGAGTGCCTTGTCTTTGCTGCAATTGCGACAGAATATTTTTCCACAATAGCGACAATGATGCTTTCGTTCCAGCAGTGTGAATTTGACCGCACAGCGGTGACAATTGTCGTACATGTCATCGTATTCCCAGGCTTGGGAGAGCGTTGCCACAGACCGAGGATTCAAATGAGCGTCCATGGCGCTTTGAGTCAAACTGGTAGGAGAGACTACCGATTGTTGCTGATCTTCACGACCGGCTTCTTCCGGTGGTGGTGGCGACGACAGGACTACTTGTTGTTGCTGCTGTTTGTCCGGTGACGACAAAAAGCTACTCTCACTACCGACCATGGCAGGAGGACCATCGGCGGACATCATCTTTCTTTCTCTTGTTTTCAATATTCTATCTTCCTCCTCTTTCAGAGCCCACAGATTGATTGGTGCTTCAGAAAGATATTATGAGTCGTACTGCAGCGCCAAGATACCGGAAGATGTAAAAGTAACACCTGCAAGACACGAATGAATCAAAGTGCACCTTCTGCTCGTCTCCAATAAAGCCAGTTGACCAACAGCTCGACAACGCCTCTCCTTGCTTGTCGGATAGATAGACACTCGGAGTTGATGGCAATACGCTACAGACGATGTCGATGGATGGATGAAAGCAGATGCCCGATAGAGGTTGATGTCGCTAAAGGACAATTGTCATGGTGACACGAAAATCTGGAAATCGAAGGAAAAAGCTCTGCGAGGCTGGCGTGTGATACTGTAATAAGCCAGCTGAAGTTGTAAAGAGAAAATGCTTGGAAGAATGTTTCAGAGCATCGACGACTACCAATACCTGGTACACTGTACAGTCGTTTTGACCTCGGAAGTCTTTGGGTCCACCTGCAGATACCAGGTTGAGTGTCCACAGCCACCAGAGCTTCACTTTGGACTACCGTACGGCTGTACAAGTTGAGCGTTCAGAGCCTCGGATCCAGAGCATAAATATGCATGCACTCGAGTCTTTCTAAAAAGCAATTGATGGTACAAGTGGAGTGGTGGCAGCTATAATACTGGTATCAAAACCTTAACCATGCAGTCGACCAAGCGTACTGATGATGATCGCCAATCAGCTGTGCTGCCGATGCCAATTGATAGTACTGGCCCTGATGTGGCTGGTATTATGGATGCGGCAGAAGAAGAAAGCCAAACACAACCACCAACAATAAAAGAAGCATACGACACTAGCTAGCTGATACTAGCTAGTAGCCAGTACGACATGCAGCTATCGATAGCTAGCCACCGGTGTTTAATCCAGAGAGAACCAGACGGAAGAGTGACTGGACTGACTCGACCCTTCACTCATCCTTTTGGGTCTCCTCTCGAATGCATGATCGAGGCGGTCGAACCGCTCGAACATGATGTCCCGGTGTCTCGGTGGCCCCAGGAAGGCAACTTTTGGAAATTAGGTAGCTGAGGTGAATAAAGTTTTAATACAAAAATGAAAAGTAAACATTAATTTTAACCCTAACCTTACCTCAACTACCCATCTAAAACTGCCAGAGGGCCAAGAAAAGAAAAAAGGGCAATCACAATCCAAGGACAGTAACAATTCCATAGTAATCCATACAAAACCAGATGACTCGATCAGATGCCGACCAAGTTCTCCCCATGAAGGAAGAGGACGAGGCTGGGAAGCCAGGCAACCTGGGTGCTTCCCACAACCAAGAGCAGGAACACAAGGAGACACAGCACGAACCGAAGGAAGAGCAGCAGGATCCTCCATTGCCTGTGTCTACTACCACTGGTGCCAATCTGCCTCATAAAGTTCCCACTGCAAGTGCTATGTTGGCAGCAGAAAAACGAAATATTGCATATCCCAAAAAGCGTGCACCAGCCACAGACACCAATGAGGAGCAGCCGATCCACAAAGAGAAAGAAACAGTGGAAAGTACCCGAACTGGGGAGGTCAGTGCCCTCTTGGCACATGAAAAGCGGCACATTGCTTATCCAAAAAGTGGGCCATCGGGCGGAGCCACCGGCAGCAACCAAGGATATAGGCCTGGTACAGGCTCAGTACCAGTACCGGTGCAGACTGGTTCTACCAACAACAGCAGCCAAGTGTGCACCCGTAAATCTAACACTGCTTCGGGTATACTACAAGCTGAAAAAAGAAATATTATCTATCCAAGAGGAGAGACAAACAGAACTGCTAACACAATGGTGCTTGCCAATGCAGATCAAAGCAATGGTGACAGCAATCATCAAATAGCAACCGTGCCTCCGCCTCAAGGTATCTTTGCCTCAGAGACTTCACAGCCTCCTCCTTCAGGGGCCTGTCCAAGGGTTGACAACAGCGGTGAAGTTCCAGATGAATTTGCCGAAACAGAGAATACTCAACCACCTACGTTCAATCCTGTTGATTCCAATACTGGCTTGGCTGTGGCAAACTTGGTCGAAAATGAAACAACTGCTCAGGATCTGCCCCAGGCTCAAGACTACAGTCCAGATGAAAACAACACAAACAGAGAAGAGAGGATGACTCGATTCAAAACCAAGGTCCTCTTTGGAGTCATTATTGTCTTGTTGCTGGCTATCGCAATAATGTTGGTGGTTATTTTTGCTTCTGGAAACAAGACGGTGGAGACAGTCATGCCATCTCCCTCCCCAACTTCCATCCCAACAGCAGCACCAACTTCTTATTCAGAATACTGGCTGTCGCTTTTCCCAGAAGCAACAGTCTCTGCAATTCTGGAGGAGCCAGCATCACCCCAGTCAAGGGCATTTGAATGGCTAGTGGAAGAGATGGATGTTCTGCACAACCTTACAGATCAGAGAGTGGTACAACGATTTGTACTAGCCACATTCTATTTTGCCAACAGCGAAGAACAATGGCTCTTCAGTAACAATTGGCTCAACCACAGTGTTCATGAGTGCCTTTGGTATTCAAGTTTGGAGGATTGGTATTTCTTTTCTGAGGCAAATATATATATCCCACTGGATCACATCACTCCCTGTGAGCAATATCCGGCTGGATATCTAGAGGATGGCATCTTGTACCAGGGAGATGGAATCCTGAAACATTTTTGGCTCTCCTTTAATGGTGTGGTGGGATCAGGGATTCCGCCAGAGCTCTACTTGCTTACTGATCTTAGGAGCTTGGCATTGGATGAATTAAACTTGACCAGCACCATCCCAGAAGAGCTCTCTGGCCTTTCAAATTTGGAGTATCTTTCGATGTTGGGATGTGGGCTTTTGGCTCCATTCCTGAAGCACTCGGAAGTTTGTCAAAACTTGGAGTTATCCACTTTTTCTACAACTCTTTGACAGGAACTGTAAGTGGCGACCTATGAAGTATCGGAGCAGAGCTTGCTGCAATATCTCACAATTGCTGTCCTTTCCAGATTCCATCATCCCTTTTTTCCCTTACAAACTCAATGCAAGCCATCACTTTGGTGGGAAATCAGCTTACAGGACCTGTAGGTACAAATGTGTAGTCTCTACATTCACAGGTTTGGTGTTTCTGACTTGCTGTTTCAATATTGCAGATACCAACAGAACTGGGATTGCTAACAACTTTGGTGGGTCTAGCAGTTGAGGCCAACCTTTTCACGGGGACAATTCCCACAGAACTTGGGCGATTAACCGGATTAAGGTCACTGTTCCTGGCGGGCTTGAATCTGAATGGTGCTGTAAGTGTCACCATGGTATTTGGTTGATTCTCTGTGTTTGCAATCTTCAGATCTCACCAGCACATTCTGGTAGCTCCCAAATGAGCTTGCAGTTCTTACAGACATGGAACTTCTGCAACTGCATAACTCGGGTCTTACAGGGACACTCCCTAAATGGCTTGGCAACATGACATCCCTGGAAGGATTGACTCTGTCGGACAACTCCTTGACTGGGACTGTAAGTCTATTTTGCACCAGTCCTGTCGAGATTCTTCTTCTGCTAACACCAAGTCGATCATTTCTTCTTTTCCCTTTTAGATCCCGACAGAGCTGGGCCTGCTGACAAAATTGTGGAACTTATGGCTTGGTGGGAATGCTTTGTCGGGCGGAATCCCAAGTGAAATTGGAAAGTGTGAGCAAATGATATTTTTGGTCTTGGAAAGATGTGGTCTCACAGCAACCATTCCTACAGAGCTTGGTCTGCTTTCTGAGTTATTGCAGTTGTGGCTGTTTGACAATGATTTGACTGGAACAGTGCCCCTGGAACTTGGCAATGTTCCTTTCCCTGCTCCTTATGGTCAAGTCTGGTTGGATCGAAATGATCTTTCTGGCATTATCCCTGAGAGCTTGTGTTCTGCCAATGATCTTTTATTTGACTGCAGCAGCCAGCTCTGCGGGTGTGATTTGTGCAACTGTTCTGACAATAGAACATCACCGATACTGGATGCAAACCAAACTGAGGGGAACCAAACTGAACCCTGAATTGAATCGAATCACTGGATAGTTGTAAAAGTGGATGTCTACCGTACGAAATAATTTATGCTTGCACGTTTAAAAAGCGGGTGCACGCGTGACCCCTTGCGTGGGAGGGAGCCTGGGCTCGAAGATCTGCTAGCCGCGACTTTACTCGTGTGGGCCTTGAGCCAGCACCAGGAGATGATGAGCAACAGCCGCAAGAAGGAGAGTAGCGAAAAGTCTCCTTCTCCTTGTCTGGATGGGCGGTGGATCTTCCGTTTCCTGCAACGCGCCTGTGAGAACCTAAGTCTCCACGCGACACACCCGTAGTAGAGACTTTAGTCCGTGAGCTTTCCTTCAGGTGAGAGTGGATGGATCAACGCTGTACCCTCGTATATTATTAGAGTTAGTGAAATATCATTACAAAGATTCACCGGCAAGCGAGCACTGTTTCGATCCACTGTTTTGATCCAATGCCCAATCATACCGGTACATCCATTCACGATGGTTCTTTTGGAACCGACAGAGACCCCAAGGGCGGCGCTGATCCTTCGAACGTTCAAAATACGATCCTGCTGCACAGTGCCACTTGCCGTGACCCATCATGGTTGCCGAATCGAAGCGAGCTTTGTATTTCTGAAAGAGTGCACCCTACAGTACTACTACTGTTCCGCCGTTTGTTTCTTCTTTTGTTTCTTTTCTTTTTTCATTCGCAACTTTTCTTCCCGTTCTCGTTTCCGTGTTGCTTGTCCCAATAAATCGGGTGTATCAAAGTGTGCCATGTGTAGATTGGTGTGATTGTGTGGTGGTCGTGTTTTGTGCGGTCCTTCAAAATTGGCCCACATGGTAATGGGGAAATCGGTTTGGGCGCGTTGGTACATGTCCATATCGTACTGAGTAATGGATCGGACGTATGCCACGGTGGAATTCAAGAGTTGATTCTTGACAATTTTGTCGTGACTTTTATTCTTGACTTTGGATCGATGGAATCGTACGTGGGCGACATGTTCGATAAGGGGAAAGGTTTCCATGGAGAGTCCTTCGGTGGTTCCGACCCAATCGAGTTCGGTGGCGAAGGATTCGTAGACGGCTTCACATCCTTCTTTGGGTACGTCAATGGGTTTTCCCTGTTCGCGATAACTTTGATAGTAGGCTTCTTCGGTGTGAACGCAAAAGAGGCATTGTGGATTGGGTAATGTCAATCGAATAAAGTCGTCTTCGGTGGGATTCGGGACAAAAAAGTATCGCATGTCGCCCTTTTTTCGAGAAGCATAGTAGTAATTGAAATGAGAAACGGCAAAGGAGAGTGGTTCGCGAATCACGGTGAACGCAAAGAAGGGGATTTTGCGGACTTGGGCCATGGCACGCCATTTCAAGAGATCTTTTGACAGAAACAAAAAGCAAAACGCAATACTGTGAGCATGTGCGCATTCATACTATGGATAACAATATCCATCTTGGACATCGTGATAATTGAAGTAAAAAGAAACACTCACCTTCTCGAACAGTCAAATCCATGTAGGGCGAACTCAATCCAGCATGATATTCGTAAAAGATTTTCATTCCCGGCTTCCAATCTTCCAATGTTTGGTACATTTCTTGACGATACTTGTCCTGTTTGTTCCAGCCATAGACCATGCGATACCTCCAATGAGGATTTTTCTCAAAGGGTTCCATGATGGTCGTCCCGCCAGTTTTGGGAATGTGTCTGTATGATAATAGTAATAATAACAAAGTGTTAGTTCCAGATATAGGTTGTAATAACGATCAAATATATAGTCAATACATAAGCCGATGCTTACGATACTGTACTCACAAGTAGAATATAATCATGCCTTGGGCATTAATCTCTGGCAATAACTTGGACCCTGTTTGGTGTCTCCCATTCTGTTCTAGTGGCGTGGGAACATTCCAATCGCGAGAAAATTCCTTGCTGTTGCGTAATCGTATTGCCGCTTCGGTAGTAATACTGGCATTGCTCAAGACTACCAGTGGA